AAAAATGGTTATCATTTCACAAAAATAATTACTTTATTACGCAAATTTTACCTGAAACTGATGTAAAAATTTTAACTTTTATTTGCTGGGGTCAAACCTTTGAAAAGTTTAGAGCCCCCCCCTTCAGTATATCAAGAACTTTCAGAGCCCCCCCTTTAATGCCAGAAAATATTTCGGAGCCCCCCCTTAACATCTTCATCCCCCCCCCTCGGCATAATAAATGTACTTTCCCTAATATACCTTAATTTGACTGCTCCGAACAACGCGAGCGGTTTCATATTGTATTGTACAGTCCAAAAAATATCTGCGTACGCTAGCAATGGTCTTTCCACCCTGGTATGGTCGCAACCGGCACGACTATAAATGTAAACCAGATTTAAAGCTACCTGAGTATCATGAACTAACATATCTGACAGTCAACATTTGCAGTCCAACTCCGCTTGCTACAATGTAGTATAATCCATTCCTAGACAGCAACATAAACAAAATGGAACAGCTCAAAAGAGGATTCTTACACGTGCATTTGCTTATACAAGACCCTGGGGCTTGTCAGCAAGTTGTAAAAATTCTGTTATTTTATTATTATTGGTGCAAGATTGCTAGTAGGAATGTTGATGTAAAAACCATTGAGGTACCAGGACACTTCGGATTTACCGTACCCGAGTCTTCAATTTAAGTCTCCAAAAATCCTATATTATATATAGAACTCAATAACCCGCCATCAGAATACATGCCATCAATTCAGAGTTGCATTACTGGGGTATAGTAAACTACGAAGTATCGCAACTCTTTTCGTGTTTAAATTAGTTATAAAATTAAACTTGAAAGATATAGTTTCCCACACCTTTCCTAATGAGTTTTAGGTCGTTTCAAACAGGAGATATAATGTGTGTGACTCATTAATTATTCACTGGCAAATTCTAGAAAGAGAGGCCACAATAACTAAGTTCTCTCCGGGTATTTTTTATTCCTACCAATTACCAGCAACTTTAAATCCTCTTACAAAATGTCAGATTTGCGGTGGTCACGCCCGGGAAAATTTCTATAGTCGCTATTTTGAATTGTTTAATTTTCCCGGGCGATGACTACTAAGACCAGCATTCGTCGCGGGAATCAAGCCTTGTGACGTCATTATGCATAAGGTCTATTTTGCATTCATCTAGTCCTGAGACCATGTTGCAGTAGCTCAGACGGACAAGAAATTTTTTCTTTGTCTTGTGAGCTCTGGGTTGGAACTAATGACTTTAACACAAAGAAAAAATTCTTGTCCGTTCCAATCGATATGGATAATTTTCCTGAGTAGAAACTAGCCTTAAGTATAGGCCACGCTTTTTTTTGTTGGATTACGGATTTTGTTCCGCGCCAATATTAAAGGGCGGAAGGGCAAAAAATTAAAAAAAATAAAGTATTATCTAATATCTAAGGCCCCGATTACACTATACCGGATTGCATCGAAGCGACGCGATTTCTGTACCGGATTGGCCTCTTGTTTACATTACGCCACTGTAATCCGGTACGTGCCGCGGCGCGAAAATCACTTCGTTTTGGAGGTGATATGAAAAGTAATCCGGTACGTGCTGTACCGGATAAAACCAAGTGTAATCAAGCAATCCGGTACTCTCCGGTACTATAAATAGGTTTCGGCAAGTATATTTTAACATTGTCGTTTTATTTACTCGCTTTTAAATATTTTATAGCTGTTGTTTGCTTCGCTTTACAATTATTTATTATTTCTAGCGAAGACAAATAAAGATAGCGGTAATAACATTGACTTCTTGCTTTCAAAAGGGCAAAATTTAATGAAATACTCGTCAATTTTCGATAAGAGCGAGACAAAGCAACGTCGGGTGGTCAAGCTTTGTAAACAAAGTTATAATTCACAAGTACTGTCGAGAAAACGTCCAAAATGGTCAAAACTTATTATTTGTTTCCGTGGCAACGATAAAAGATACGAGCTGGCGACAGAGCGAAGCGGCATAGTGTAAACACCCTTGATTTTGGCTTCGGTGTGAAAATTGATCCGGCATGAAAATCAATCCGGTATAGTGTAAACAGGGCCGTAATCCCATCCTAATACCACACGCACAGTGACATGTGTATCCAAAGTCAATTGTGTTTAATACGCATGCACTCTTGTGTTCAGCATAGTGCTCCGGCATCCAAATTATAACAATAGGATAATTTCTACAGTGTCACTTTTGGGAGAAACCCTGTACAGTATAAAAAAATGCAACCTCGGAATTTCCCAAGAAATCGACATTGTTTTAAAGACAAAAGGTTTTAGGCGCCCGGGAATTTAAAACAGCACAACTGTCAAAATTAGTACTGCACACGCGAGTGCATAAAGCAAAATTTATGCATTTATTTAATGCACAACAACAGTAATATGATCTATTAGCAATTCGATTTCAATTTCCAGGGGCCTAAAATCTTTTATGCTTAAGAATTGCAAAGTGATTTCTTAGGAAATTCCGAGGTTGCGTTTTTTTCATACACCCTGTATATCAAAGGATTCAAATTTCAATGTCCTCATTTGAATATGCAGAAAGTTCTCATTATGCTAGCAGCATGACAGTTTATTTAAGCCTGGTTCACAAACATCGGCGATGCCCATTGTCGGTGGTCATTGATGCATACAATGTTTTGTGCATTTTATTCTTCGTTGCTCACAGACAATGGATCGTAGAACACCGCCAATCAATGTGAACCAGGCTTAAATGACAGTTCTATTGTGGAACACAATCGTGATTGGACAGCTGCAGGACACCACACGTACATGGTATGATTCAACTGCAATAAGGCATTTGGATGTGCAGTGGTAACTCTGAATGATCTTGTCTAAAAGTTCACACGAGTGACCACGAAGGACCACGAATGACCACGAGTGACCACGAGTGACCACGAGTGACCACGAATGACCACGAGTGACCACGAGTGACCACGAGTGACCACGAATGGCCACGACTGACCACGAGTGATTTCTGTGTTTAAAAGTCATAAAATAATAATAAAAACTATTTTAATGTTTTTATTATCTTTACATTCGGGTCGAACGGACCGCTTGCTTTATTCGGGTTAAGTTTACTAAACTTATTTGCTACACTATCTGCGGTAATGTTCGGCAGTTGTTCTTCCATTCCAACATTAAACCAGCTATCATGTACTTCCGAGTAATTACTAGTAAGACTAGTAAAATATTCGTTCATCAGATTAGCTGTGTCTTTTGAATTTAGTGGGGGTATCAGACTGTGGGCTATTTAGAATAAATTCCTGCATGTTTACTCTGTCCAGTAATGTTTTTTATATTTTTCCACCACTGCTTTGAATTGAAACAACGAGCAAGTTTGATTTTTTCACTGTAATATTCCTGCTTCTCTTTCCGAATTTCCGAGGTAATTTTATTACGAAGCGATCTGTATTCTTCTATTCTCCCACGTTGGTACATTTTATTTCTGTTAGATATCATTTGTTTAATCCTCCCAGTCATAAAGGGTTTGTCATCTTTATGGACCTTGACAATTTGTGTTGGAAAACAGTTATCAATCATTGCATTAGTAATCGATAAAAAGGCGTTCACTTTGGTGTTAATACACGAGGCCTCGTAAACCGCTGACCACGTCTCTAGACCGATACAATCTTCAAACAAGCGCAAGCTCGTTTCTTTAATGGGTCTCACTGTAATCTTTTTTTATCTCATTTTTACCTTGAGCTTGTTCTTTCGATTTCCATATAATAGCGCTGTGGTCTGAAGAGCCAGTCGGTGCCAGAGATACTGGTGTTTCATAAAACGAATGTGCATTGGTCAGGATTAAGTCTAGAATTGCGTTACCTCTGGTTGGTGTTCTGATTACTTGTTTTAACTTACAATGATTTTTAAGGACTTTTTTCTGAAATCCATTACTTAAGGGATTAAAATCCCCAGTAATAGTAAATGATGTATTTGGACTCTCGCTAATAAGAGAATCATAACAATAGCAACAATATTCATAAAAACTTTCAACTGCTTCGGTATTCATCGACGGTGGCAAGTATACACACGCAAGTGCAAGTTTTGAAATTTTTCGTGGAAGCCATTTTTTTTTTTTATATATATTTAAACATATTTTGGAAAATTGAGTTTGCCCCAAGAGCGTACACACTCATCTAGGGGGCTTACTCGTTAGAAATTAAAAAATACACTGTCACGCACACACGGTTTTTAATATTTGAAAATTAACACGATAGGTGTCAAGAATTATTGAAATAAAAACGTGCTGTTTCTTTAATATAAGTCTGAACATAAGAAAATATTGCCGTGTTGTGTTCCAACGACAGCATTTGAGAACCAAAGAGAAATATTTCCATAATTTGTTCATCCTTCAATCTTGACCACCCTTCGGGAAGTTTCTCGGCAGCGGAGGAGAACAGCTTAGACCTTTGGGCAGCAAATATTGGACAGTAGAGAAAATAATGTTTTATAGATTCAGTGTGATAGCCACACCTGCATGATGGAGACATTTTACAACCTATGCCATACAAATATAAGTTTAGTGCACATACACCTAATCGCAAACGAGTATGGAAAATAGAAGAATGCCTATCAATTGCAAAATTTAAAATAGGATTAGGATTACATATGTCAAATACATTTAGTAGACTGTTCTTAAAGTGTGTAATTGAATCTGTAGAACGTATCTCATTGCTCAGATTATTCCATAATATTGTCGTGGAAGGAAAAAAGGCTTTCCTAAACCGTTCTGTTCGACAAGCGAAGAGTGAGTAATCTATACAATTTCTTAATTTATGTTGTGTCCTCCGACGAACTTGAAAAGGAAGTAAGTCACTTAAGTAACTGGGACTACAATTATTTACAATTTTGGTCGGAGAGTAATCCACAGACATTCATAGTCCGAGTTGTAAAAATCTGGACGAATTTTCAAAGGAAGCGATTCTCTTATATATACGGCCACGCCTCCTCCTCTTCGAGTTGGTCTATCGTATATATCTTTCCTAACTATGGTAAAATCAGGAATATGTAAGGCCTCATCGGGAATAACATCCGTAAGCCAGGTTTCAGTAACCATAATTACGTCCGCATTTTGTTGGTTAATTATAATCATCAGTTCGTCTATTTTGTTGAAAAGAGATCTAGCATTGAAAAGCAGTATATTTGGTAAAGTATGTTTAATATTCTGACGACTAAGTCTTGAAATCGGAATATTTTCCAAATTATTTCTACGTGCATTCTGCCTTGGTTTGTGTTTACGTGTATTGGTAATTCGACATGAATATATTGTGTTTACGTGTATTGGTAATTCGACACTATTACTCGTTGTGACGGGACTTCTGTAAGGTTTTCTCCGAGTTAGACGTACATTAATTTAATTTAATTGGTTGGGATTTATCATTGCCAGTGTAATCACTTAAAAATAGGGGTAGGGTATGCTCATAGTGGGCATCGATTCAGACCCATCGGAGTGGGGATTTG